CCGTAAAAAAAGGATCCAGCATCAGTTGCATCACTTCACAGTCATTCATGAATCCTTTCCTGAGGCCTCATGGTCATGGGATAGTAAAGTGTCCATTGGATGCACACCAAATGATTATGAATACTATGAATTCGGACATACTGCTCTTTTTATATACTGTTTTTTGCCTACTATAGATGAGGGAAGTATGTGATTTCGGATGCATTTTTTCAGTTATAAAAAAAAACCAATCATGGCTGACTTTTTTCGTTGGTGGACCCAGGCCTCTAGGTGTCACTATAAGTCCAAGACGATAGCATAACACAAAGAGTAAGTCCTAGGCGCAACAAAAAGTGACCTGTAAAATATTGTTAAAATGTTCATGCAGTTTAAGTCCACTTAGTAAACTCTAACTGTAACTCTTTTTCCCCAGAGAAAGCTGACTCTAACCACCCCCTTCTCCCTCTCTGATCGTCCTGTGCTGGAGGTTGTCAGCCGAGTTTTATGTCCAGTTCGCTGGAGCTGAAAGAAGTCAGCATCATTTCTTGTTATGAAACAAGACGTCCTTGCCTTCCGTTCCGGGTGAACGATGCCTGGGGTGACTTGCATGGAGCGATGGCCTCGCGGTGGCGCTCCACAGAAGCGACCAACAGTGAGGAAGTCAATGCGCCATTGTGAATCGAGTTTGTCGGCTACATGTTTGGTAATTATCCCGACTGTTTGTTGGAGACTTGGATCTGCAAGCCAAGCGGGCTGACAGTGGAGCACAACACCGTCAACAAAGATTAACTTCTTCATGAATGGTCAACATGTCTAGTTGAGGGAGACAAGCTCAAGACATCATTGATTAGTGCTACCACTCAAAACAATTGATACAATCCACAATTTTTTTCACAGGCTGAATAAAAACATCATAGAGGACTTGTGCTTTTTGAGAAAACACATATTCCTCTATTAGAATACGTTTAATAAAACCCACTAGCATATATGTAGGCCTAGTTGTAAAATTATATTTTTTGTGAAGGTCTAGCCAGAAGCAAAGTTTAGCCTGTTAGAAGTTGTTTTGCTAAAGCAGAACAGAAACTTTCAGGATGTATCAAACGGCTCTGACATATTATGTTCATTAATCACCATGCTTTTATCAGCTAACATAACATGGCATAATGGTGGGTACCCTTCCAAAAGGTATTAATACGTACCATTTAGGTATATGTCCATTTAAGATACTATGCACCCTTTAGGGGTGAATAAGGCAAGGCAAGTTTATGTATATAGCACATTTCAATTACAATGGTAATTCAACGTTCTTTACAATTAAAGCAAGGAATTTAAAATTTTTAAATGATTTAAAAATCTATTTAGATTAATTAAAACAGTTAAGAATAAGAGATAAGGACACATAAAATACAGTTCAATAATTTGTATGAAAATAAGGTAAAGGTACTGCCCCTGTGAAAGGTAGCTGGTTTTACATGGTCTCTAGTTAGACCATCCAGGTCATTTATGGTCATTAGCTGGTCCAAACTGATCTAGATGATGGATCAGCTTGAATTGTATGAATTGGGGCCGAGATCGACCTCACAGACCAGTGTTCCACCTTGACCACCAAACTGATATAAATATTTTGTATTCCAGCAGGAACACATATGCTCCTATGACCCAGCGGTGGGGTTACTGCCCAGAAGGTTGGGTTAAACATTTAACCCAACTGTTGGTTGAAGACAACCCAATCGCTGGGTTTGTCTATATTTTACCCAGCGCTGGTTTGTATTTAACCCAGCATTTTTTAGAGTGTAGAACTAATTCTAAACAAAATACAAATTTTCCAAAATTTTTGTTAAAAAAAAAAGTGTATAAACCTTTTCAAATGGTATACTTTTGTAATAATATGTACCTTTAAGTTACCAATATCTTTAGGTACAAAACATAATCATATACAGTATTTAGGTACAAAGGTGTAGGCCTTTGAAAAGGTAGCCTGCTGCTCCAGTGACAGCTTTTGTACCTTTTTAGTGTATGCTAAAAAATCTAACACCACATTTGGCCTATGTCCCACTTGGGGGGAAAAAGAAACTGTGTATCACAGTTTGTAACTCTTTAAAAGGGTACTGTCATATAGAAATTACTAACTACAATCTCTTACCATCTCTTATCCCACTCTTGTTTTGTTTTACTTTTAATGGGGCAACTGTAGGCTACATAATCTCAAATTGTCTCAGTTTTGTTCTGAATTTTATTTTATTATTATTATTATTTTATATATATATATATATATATATATATATATATATATATATATATATATATATATATATATATATATATATATATATATATATATATATATATATATATATATATATATATATATAGGACCACCATTTATAGTATGCAAAATAGTGAGGTCCTGATATTCACGTTTTAACGAGAAAGTTAGGAGTAATTAATTAGGCTGCAGGGCTCTCTAAGCTATTTAGGGGCATCCGTTCATTGAACATTGAGAGCGCGTTTCTCCTGCCCAGCTCTTCTCGGTTCACATTGCCTCTCAGACGGCAGAATAGCCCAAGCCTTGATCCTCGTCAGTTGTCATCCCCAGTTCGGTTCACTTTGGCCGCTGCTAGTGGGGAAGTCAGGCCTAATCCCTGGAAGGAATCAGGGCAAAAGAAAAGCAACAATAACCAAGTCAACCGTAAAAAATGAAAGCGAAATCTCTATTATCTGCTCCAACATTTCCCAGCGATGCAGTGAAATCAGGCTGGTTTGTCATTCGAGTCAGACTCCGGGGGGAGAATCTGGGGTCGCTTTGGGTTGGTAGACTCACACGACGTTTAGAGAGCAATATTTCGGCGAAAGGGGGCCTCGCATTTGCAAAATCCCCCTCACATCCCGCCATAAGCATTAAATGCAGTCTGACTTTATGTTGTATAGGCAGCGCAAAACAAGAAAAGAGGCACAGTTCTCACATAAAAGAACGCGGTTTTGGGGGATTAGGGACGTCCCAAAGGATGGAGAATAACTTCTGCATAACTTTACAGCTCCTCTCTCTCCAGGTTTAGACTACGGCTTAAAGCGCGCAGTCTTTAGTTAACCCTTAACTGGTCCCTGTAGTGCGAGTCATTACCAAGTCAAAGTTAAGGCACTGAAGAGCGATACAGTCGAGCTACACTGCAGAAAGAAAAAAAAAACGAGACCGAATCGCATTTATTTTTTAATCTTACAATTTGAATATGTAGCATTTGTATTTTATCAAGACAGGCCTATCAAAAATGCATTAACTGTCAATTAAGTTATTCACCAAGACAAACGATCAAAAGAATCCACATTCAGTTGTGTAGCTGTTATTGGTGTTTAATCCAAAAGTTTTTATTTGAATGGCAGAATTTTGTTTTAAGATTTTAAACGCCTTAATTGGAAGAACAAAATAATTAATCTCGGGATAATGTCATCACGATCACATATGCCTCATTTACCTCAGAAATCATCGTGAGGGTCAGATGACCCATGCAATCAATGTCTCTTGTAGTTCCTTGAAAACCTGCTTTTCGTTTTAAAAATTCATTAGGATAATCTTGAGCCACGCACAATGATAATTTTCAGAATTGAAGCCAAGTTATCCAGGCTCATCCCTTTGCTTAAGAGCTCTCCAGTCGATGAAGATACTTCACTTAGGCAGCCTAATTAGTGATTTTTGTCCTCGTTCAATTGCCTCTGTCTCCGTTGTGCATTCAAATGAAGTCCTTAATGCACATGGTAGCCTAATTGTAGGCCTACCTGTATAAAAACCTGATTCGTTTCACAATGATCAATAATCTTTATTTCTTCCAGGACATGTGAGGTAACGTAACATATATAATATATATAAAATATTTGGGGGTATTTTCACTGCAAACATCCTGATGGTATCACTGTATGATTGTATAGGTTCATAAACTCCCTGCTTGCAAACCAATGAATTCAGCTGCCGGGGGGGAGGAGTGGAGGGATGACTTGGATCATCCAATTTAAGGCTATCACAATAACAGAGCTGCTACACTGTAGTAGTGGAGAGCTAATGCCACAATCCACGACATAAAACCTGCGAATTTACCCTCAGACATCAGCGCACGCAGTAGAATAGCCCTTAATGCGAGGCATTCTCAGCCCCCCATTTCCATCAGGCGCTCATGACTGCAGAATTGCCGCGGACTGCAAGTTATCAAGAGGCACTAATTTCACATTAAAGACCATTGACTGCAGTGGCTTGATTCGAGGGTTTGCGACAATTAACACAATCAGAAACGGAGCCCAGATCGTTTACCTTGACTCCGTAATTATTTTTTGGCCGCGCGCGCTATAGCCTTCACACTCGCAAAATTGCACGCGGTGTCAAAAACCGAGAAGAGAGAGGATGCAGAGCGTTTTCATAAAGACACCGTCTCCAAACACACACAGAATAATGAAATACAAAACGAATACAGTGAGAAATATATTAGACTGTTTATTAATCCCGATTTTAAACGGTTTAAATGAGGTGTTTGCGTTTATGTTGTTCACATTGACTAATAGATTCATATTGATAGGGATAAATAAAATAAATAGACTATATTCTGTGTGCATGATCAAAAACTAGAACGAAAATATGCTCATTCTGCAACTTCAACTCCAATAAAACCGTAACAGCACCATATAGCCTGTTTTCCTAACAGCTGAATATTCACAATGTTATAAACTAGTAGTAAAATGTATATTTCATAAAAACAAATGAGTATCACATATATTTTACGTTAAATAGATGGCAGAGGCATCATTGACCCTATTCAGCTTTTTATGTAATTCTGATCAACATGCAGAAATTCAACTCTGAATTAGAAACGTAGCCTAGTTCTAGTTAAACCAAATAGTTTAGTTTAAATAGTACATTGTATAGACACAAAACATCTGGAAATGGATGAAACGGGACTCAATATCCAGTTCTTTCAACTTCACTTTAGACATTACAGGTGCGCTTCTCAGTTGAAATCCCGTCCATCGCGAGATTACCTAACCCTAGTCATGTGACCGAGATTTAGGGAAAAGAAAGAAAACAGGAAGTTGTGTAGAGTTGCAAAACGCAGAGCGACAGTGTGTCGTATTTGGAGTGTATAAGATATGGAATTGTTAACGAGATTAACATTTGTATCAGCATGCTTATTTGCAGAGTGGGCTGTTACTTTCATTGCCGTTGCTAACTGCTCTAGTTCCCCCTCAGAAATGAATGGCGACAGTGCACTAAAGCTGCCATCAGCAGACATCCCTGTAGCACAGAAGAGCACTCTGGGATCTTTCTACTCTCTCAGTCTTTCATCTACATTTCCAGAAGACTTGGAAGTCAACGAGTATTGTACTGAACTGCTTCGCATCTACGGCCAACGCTACGTGACTTTCGCGAACTGCCTCGTGACTTATGCACGACCTGTCAGAGTCTGTCAGAACTGTTACACTGGCTTCAACAGTCTGGAGGACATTTATAAAAACATATCATTTGACAAAGTAGGTGTTCATTCCAAGTCGAAATGTCCATTTTTAACACCAAAGTGCCTATAAATGTCCTTGCGTGGTTTGAAGGTTGACAGAATTCCACGAGTCACATGCACTCATGTCTCGTGATTGTGTTCACGTTCACCAAGCCCGACTCACACTGACTATGGAATATTTTAGTATGCTTAAAGAGCTACTTTTAGTTATTCTAAAATAATATTCTCATTGTACCTTTAAAAAAAACTTCTTAAAAAAAGCTAAAGATGTCAATACATACTGTATGCTGTCCTGTATGTTTTTTGTCATTGTACAAGTTGTTATAAAATGTGACCCAGGACCACTAAACCAGTCATAAAGGTCAAAAGATTTTAAATTGAGATTTATACACGCTGAAAGCTGAATAAATAAGGTTTTCATTGATGTATGGTTTGGTAGAATAGGACATTATTTGGCTGAGATACAACTATTTGAAAATCTGGAATCTGAGAGTGCAAAAAAAATCTAAATATTGAGAAAATCGCCTTTAAAGTTGTCCAAATGAAGTCCTTAGCATTTCATATTACTAATCACAAATTCAGTTTTGATATATTTAAGGTAGGACATTTACAAAATATCTTAATGGAACATGAGCTTAACTTAATATCTTATTATTTTTGGCTTGAAAGACAAATTAATAATTTTGACCCATACAATGTATTTTTGGCTATTGCTACAAATATACCCATGTGACTTAAGGCTGGTTTTGTGGTCCAGAGTCACAAATCAGTTATGGACTGCAGCTGTAGAAGTTAATTGCAAAATACTTTATGACTTGTGATTATGTGTTGTCCTCATAGTCTGCCCCTGGAAATGTCAGTTGCCATGACAGCCTGATGCGTTCTGATAGGTTGATGCTGCTCTATACCCTCTTCATCAAATTAGATGAGATCTGGACATCAGCAGAATGCAAGCGTAAGTAACATAGCCTGAAATTTTGTAGGTTCAATTAAAACTGACATTAGACTGCATGCTTCCCTTAAGCATGTTTCTTTCATTTTCACTCTTAACCACTTGTTGCAGTATGAAGAAATTGAGTCAGTTTTATGATTGGTTTTTATTTAGTTATGATTATTTTGAGAATAATTCTAATATTCTTTGTTCGTTAGAATGTCTGAATGAAGATCAAGATGCTCTTTCCAATGATACTCTTTACTTCATGGCCACTCTGAATCAGTCACTCTCCTGCTTTGAACAATATCAGGTAAAATCAAATGGCTCATATACTGTAGATAGGTACAAGCTCAGTTAAAGAGATTACTTGAGTTTGAGAGTATCCTGTTCTCTTAATAGAGGAACCACACTGAACTGTGTAAAGACTGCAAAACCTCATACAAAAGGTTGAACGAGGTCTATGGTAGAATGGAGAAAAACCAAATGCTCTGCATTGATTTAGAAGACGCAGTGAGTATGGACTAATATACACAAACCCTGTTATTTGATGCAAACACAGTCCTAGGTTATCAAATTAGGTTTTATGATGTGGAATTATGGGAGAATTGTAAAACAGCACCCTCTATAGTCCTAGATGGAGAATATCAAACATATTTTACAAGCTGTTCAGATTTGAAATTGAGATGGACTAATATACACAAACCCTGTTATTTGATGCAAACACAGTCCTAGGTTATCAAATTAAGTTTTATGATGTGGAATTATGGGAGAATTGTAAAACAGCACCCTCTATAGTCCTACATCTGTGCAAACTAAAGGCTGGAATACACAATACGACTTTTGTAAAAGAAATAAATAAAATTGCTTCAATTTGCAGTCTGGACGAGTTGACGATAGTTGCCGAAGTCAGAGCCAGTCTTCAGATTTTGGACAGTTGGAGGAGTTATGAGGGGCACAGACTTTTTTTAGCCTTAGACTATGATTTTATCCAGATGGAGAATATCAAACATATTTGATATTCTCAATGCATCACTTTGCTCACCAGTCAGATGAGAGTCCAAACAGCTGATAAAACATCACAATAATCTACAAGAAATCCACATTACTCTGTCCATCAATTAACCTCTTGTGAAGCCAAAAAGTGCATGTCCATAATACATAATAATGCTTCCTCCAGTAAAAAAGTCCATCCTCTGTCGTCCTCTTACATTAAAATTTGTTTAGAAACTGGTTTGGACTGTTTTCACTTGTGCTTGATTTGTGCATATTTCTCTCGTGATTCAGATGAGATGACTTTTTCACTGGAGAAAGCAACATTATGGATAGAGGACTCGTATTTAAGCCAATTAGTTATTAATCAAAAGTTTATTAAGTCTTAATGTTAGATTTGTTTCTTACAAAAGTGCAGCTTTTCACAGGACATTAATTAGTGGGGCCTGGAGTAGTGTGGATTACTTGTGGGTAATTGTAATGCTTTTATTAATAGTTTTGACTCTCATTCTGACGGCACCCATTCAGTGCAGAGGATCCATTGGTGACCAAGTGATGGCAAATTTTCATTTTTGGATGAACTATTCTTTTAAAAGTGGTGTAGTGTATTCCAGACTTTACAGACAGTAGGAGCACCAAGGTTATTGGTTTTATTTCCAGGAAATGTATTAAAATCCATTATAAAGTGTATATCTAAAATGCATTTTCCTTTGGATAAAATCATAAAATCATCTCCCAAGCACATTAATGTAATGTAACACACTAATCCAACAAAAGCCATTGTTTTTTTGTTGGTACAATGTATTTTAGATTTTTTGTCCACCATAATCTTAAATGTCTTATTTAGCTTCTTGTTAATTGAATTACTTTTGTTGTTTCTTCTGTTTTTACTAGATGTTGGTGTTAAAATAAATAAATACATTTTTGTTGGTACATTGTGAACCAGCCTTAATGGTAGCAGATTATGATTAAACTATCAGAATTGTGGTATCATTACCTTGCTTATTTCTCAGATGAACATGACACAGCACCTGTGGAGTAAAAACTTTAGATGCTTGTTACCTCGGGAGGAGACGGTGCCTGTCATCGCAGTGTCCAGCTTCATGCTCTTCCTCCCCATCATCTTTTACTTAAGCAGCTTCCTGCACTCAGAACAAAAGAAGCGCAAGCTTATACACCGTAAGTAACTTGCCTAGCCTTGCAAATGGTCTCTTTAGAAAGTTTAAGTAAAAGGGCAAAGGTATTTGATAGTGTTAATTGTGCATGCTTGATATTTCATGGTCAATCACTTTCAGACAGTATTTAACCAAGCGGTCTCTAAAACTACTAATTTTAGCATCTGTCAAAACATGTAGAAGACAAAGTGTGTTTTTAATGCTCTAAGCAGGTCTCTGACTTCAATGTTAAACTGTGCATTGAATATTCTGTTGCATCTCTTGCCAGTTTAGTTCTAATCTATTCTCTCCTCCTGATCCACAGCCAAAAGAGTCAAGTCTAGCAGCAGCCTAATGAATATCCAAGACAAATTCAGCTGAGTGGAGATGAGGCGAGGAGGGGAAGAGAGGGCACTGAATCCTGCTAAACCAACAGGCACTTTCAGCATGGATGGGTAGAGTTCTCATCTTCTCCTGGACTCCAAGCACATCTGGGACCAAAGACTTTATGATGCTCTACAGATGCTGTATTCATTTCCTATTTAAATCTGATTCTTTTTTTGCGTGATTTGCACTATTGATTTAAATACGCCAATTGCAAGTTTTACTGATAATTCTACTGATTTTCTCAGAGGATCAGTGATGATTTCAATAATTACAGTGGATGCTAGTATTATATTATTGTATTTAAGGTATGAAGGAGATGTGATCCCGAAAGAGGGACATTTATCTTGTACATTAGACTGGTTATTCTGCATTTTTACTGCACTAACAGACCATGTTACATTTTATATTCTCTATTTTCCTAGGTGATAACAAACACACACATAAACGCATGTACACACACACACAGTACATGGCAATGGTACCACTTCTGGAAGCACTCCATGTGCATTAGAGAAAGATCTTGTAACATACTTTATTCAGGGTCAAAAGTGTATGCAGTGAGTAGAGGAGAAAAGTAAAGGATGGAAGAGGCAACATGAAGCCTTTTTAGATGGTCCATGTGCCTGTTTACTTCACTTTTAGTTTTACAATGGATTTGCCATAGTCTTCTCTCATTGTGTGGTTATATACTAAACTCAGATATTTAATGAACACACCAATTATTCTAAAAAAGATACACATGGAATAGGAAAGTTTAATTAATAGTGATACATCAGAGAGATCTTTCATTTTCTGTACTCAGATGTTGACCATAGCATTAAGTAAAGCATTATTTTGTATACTCTGAATGCAGTAAGGTTTATTCATAAGATATTTGCATACTTCTATAGTTGCGAAATAGTTTTCAATTCAAATAGCTTCCTCATACCTCTATTTTAATTTTGCTTAACTCCTACAGCCTTCCTTGGTGCGATTAACAGGCTTGTTGTTTTCAGGTTTACGTGGACTTTCCTTGGATTGCAAAGCACCTGTTTCCCCAGTCATTAGCAGCTAATCTAAATGTAGGATAAAGTTACTTGGCCGATTAATCGTAACAACACATCCGTTAAGCTGCATTGGCTTTTTGGTCTTGTGGAGCCAAGCCATTGCCTATCACACTGCCTGTTAAGCGCATTTCACTTGATTTATCCAATCATATGATCGTACAGGAAGATATGGGGAAAAATAGCCTTTTCATTTGTGGCTCATGAGTGCAATGTCTAACAAGAATGACAGCTTTCATATCTGCAATGCCAGATCTGTAGGTGAAAGTCATTACTCCTGACCTGACTGCCAAATGTAGCAACCAGGCGAATTTTATGGCCACGTGTTCGAGGAACTGACGCAAAACCTGAAATACCTTTTAAGATGTATGACCCGAGCCTTACTTTACCTGACAAGAACCTTAGAGAGGATGAGGGGGACCTGGTGGGGGATGTGAGATTATCCGTCATCACGTTTTGCCTTGGTAAAATCGGAGCAGTGACTTTGGACCTTGAGCAGTGAGCCCATTATGAAATATCCATGAGCCTGAAACTCAGCAGGGACTGATCCAACAAACCTTCAAAGTAGCTGCTGCATTGTTTAAATGTTGCCATTAGGATTTTGGATGACTTGTCATTATAAATCATTTTTGTGTGTTAATTAATGATTGCTTTGTGCTCTTTTGGAAAAACGTGCTTACTAACAAAAGTCTGATTTTATTTTCACATTTTGTAAGGCTGTAATTTTATTATGAATAATAAAGAGAACTCATTCTAAAAGTGTTTCATTTTATTGTATATTTATTTTTTTATTTATTATTCATATGTATTGTTTATTTAGTATATATTGTATACAGCATGATTAGCAGTGTGAGTTCTTACCATGCTTTTTATAATAACCCCTCTAGCTTGTTTCCAAGCTCCATAATCTACCCAAAGGAGCTTTAATAGGAATTGACTAAGAAAATCATTCTTATGATTATGAGGAAAATGTAATTTTGTCATTTGATTCAATGTCAGTCACCCTCTGCTTTTTAATTATTAAAATTCTCAATATTGCTTGAATATTGTTTGTAAGGAAAAAATATAACATTGACAGTAGTATGTATATGTCAGCATAAGTTATTTTGTTTCTTATGTGTTAAAATTAGTACAGGTTAGATAAAATATTGCAAAACATGACATTTAATCCATCATATAAGGTCAAGTATTATGTTGCGGGTAAAAATTCTCAAAGGACAACTAAACGTGGTGTTTTAGACAGCAAGAAAAAGTATGCAGTGTTTGTCGACTAACTGATAGATACAACTTGTATAATAGCAATATCATAAGAAATATACTACGATTTTTGTATAATAGTATCTGGGATATAAATGAGATACTGTGAATTTAGGTTTACTAATCAAATTTGTATTTCTTTCTCATTCATCCCTTCATGTAATTTTTGTTTTATATCTGTAATTTGAGGTTCCTTCATCTACTCTATATAAATCTGCTCTGTCATCAATCACACATACTTTCTGCGTAACTTTGGTAGTTACGCAAACTTTTTATAGCTGTCAATGAGCTAAAGTTGAATATGGTGCTTTGTTGAAGAAATATAGCTTTATAATTAGAGAATTCTCACTTAAGAGCCAACATGTGTTGCTGAATGAAAGGGCCCATTATGACCTCATAAGGGTCAAAGTCTGAAGATCATGGGATTATGGTATTATGATTATAGAATCGCTTCATCACAGTGGTCACTTAGCACCGCTGATGGCAGAGCTCTCCATTCCAGCCTCCATTTGCTGCTGATCATTCTTAAATGTTCAACCCCATTACAAAGGTCGTATGAGAGGTCAGCTGGAGGAGACATCGCAGATGCTGATTGGTGTGTCAGAAACCTAAGGTGGATGACTTCTGTGCCCCGTAGCTTCTTTTAATAAGACAACAGGATCACAGTCGGCAAGGCTTACACAGACCCAGGGGGTCTGGCAGAATAAGAGCTTTTGAATAATGGGCCATGGCATAAGGGCAGAAACATCTGACCCTGTTGGGCACCCCTGCCCTCTCATCTTTGGGTACAGTACATGGCCCATCAGCTGGATAAGACGGCTATAAAGCCTCTTGAAGACAATAATAGAGAAGATTTGAGGGAGGCAATAGGTGGCCATTGTGCTTCGTCTTCATCATGAGCTGCTTTCAGGACTATTTCTAAAATTAGTTTGGCATCTGAATAGCTCAGTACACGAAAACAGAAAGCACTGGATAAAATAAATCATTTGCTTCACTAAAGGCCTATATATTAATGTCCATGATGTTACACACTCAACTCAAGATGCTAATATTTCTTTTACTCTCAAACGTTTACTAATGGTAATGTTTGTTTACTCTCTATTTCGTATTCATACTGAACAATTGTACAATTGTATATTATCTTAAACAATATTTGTATATAAAGTGCAAATGTCTGTATTAGACCGTGCAGATATTCAGTTGTGCAAACAAGTATGCAGTGTGCGCAATAACACAGTCACAAGAAAGGGTAATAGGTTCTTGGTTTTTATCTGCCTTTATGGCTCAATATTTTCCTTCCAGACTGAAAACACAAAAGTTAAAAAATTTTTGTTGTTGTTTTTTTGTATGTGTGTGTGTATGTAAAACCCTTCAAATATTAATAAAGCTGGTTTTATTGCACACAAATCCATGTCTTCTGTTTATTCTGTTTTATAACACGGCTATAAAGCCTCTTGAAGACAATAATAGAGAAGATTTGAGGGAGGCAATAGGTGGCCATTGTGCTTCGTCTTCATCATGAGCTGCTTTCAGGACTATTTCTAAAATTAGTTTGGCATCTGAATAGCTCAGTACACGAAAACAGAAAGCACTGGATAAAATAAATCATTTGCTTCACTAAAGGCCTATATATTAATGTCCATGATGTTACACACTCAACTCAAGATGCTAATATTTCTTTTACTCTCAAACGTTTACTAATGGTAATGTTTGTTTACTCTCTATTTCGTATTCATACTGAACAATTGTACAATTGTATATTATCTTAAACCGTCAGGTAGCAAAGAAAATAGTCCACCAAGCACGAGCAACAATATTACAGTAATATTAATAAGTTTAATTTACCTGGACGAACGGTCTATCCAGCGTCACCATGAAATGAAAATATTTGATCGACCAATCAGAATCAAGTATTCCGGAGAGCCGCGTAATATTGTTAACATGCAAATATTCTACTTTTAGGTTTCAAATGATTAGACTAGGATCATGAAAATAAATATTTAATATCTATGGATTTTACCTTTATTTTACAATATCTATAACTGAATATCCACTGATAAGATGCTAACTGTAAAAGTACCACTAAAGGCCTATATATTAATGTCCATGATGTTACACACTCAACTCAAGATGCTAATATTTCTTTTACTCTCAAACGTTTACTAATGGTAATGTTTGTTTACTCTCTATTTCGTATTCATACTGAACAATTGTACAATTGTATATTATCTTAAACCGTCAGGTAGCAAAGAAAATAGTCCACCAAGCACGAGCAACAATAGTACAGTAATATTAATAAGTTTAATTTACTTATTAATTAAATAAGTAAATTAAATCACCATGAAATGAAAATATTCTACTTTTAGGTTTCAAATGATTAGACTAGGATCATGAAAATAAATATTTAATATCTATGGATTTTACCTTTATTTTACAATATCTATAACTGAATATCCACTGATAAGATGCTAACTGTAAAAGTAAGTTTTAAAATAGTTTTAAAAGAACCATGTCACTCATTGTAAAAAGAACATTTACTTAATATATCTGGGCAAGAAACAAAAGTAAATGTCACAGTCTTAATTTCCATGCAACTTGTTATAGTTGATTTTTATACAGATTTATGGCCTTATAGTGCATAACCTCCATGTAATAATGTGTAAATTAAGATGAGGGGTTGTGACCTGCACAGTTACTCCTGCATATTTAACTCTGTCTGATTAACGCAGGATGGTAAGAGCATCTCTCAAGTCTGAAGTAAGCAGTCTCATCACTGTAGCTCTTTGTTATTTTGTGCTTGCCATCACTCAGGTCAATGGGATTGAAGAGGAAACGGCAAAGGTTATTGAGGAGGGTTTGAGCATGATCACTTTCTCTCATATTATTATCTCTCATATCAGCAAACACACTTGATGTTTTGTCTCTTTTGTAAATGATATGGAATTTATTAACAGTTGATCCATTGATAGTATCTACATGATAAATCATACGCCAGGTTAATTGTATTACTCTGGTGCCATCTATCGATGGAATATGATTTTAAGCCACACTTTGAGTGAATAATAGACTGAGACAAGACGTGTTCATGCCATCATTGCTAAAAAAAAAGAAGCCCATCATAAACCAGTATGTTGGTTTGTAGGCTGGTTTTAGTGGTTTTAGCTGGTCACTCTGGGAGACCAGGATTTTGACCAGCTAAACTAGCTTGGCCAAAGACCAACTTAAACCAGATAAGACCACCTAACTATCGCAGGCTGATTTAAGATGTGCCTGGTTTAAGATGTGCCTGGTTTTAAAACAAGTTCCAAAGCAATTTCCACTGAAATCCGTATGTTATAAGATAGATTTGCCATAAGAGGGCGACATTGCAACAGTCTGAAACCGAAAAGCATGGCGCTGGAAACATGTATTGCGTTTTTGTTAGCAGACAGCTATGATGTTGAAGATTTCTTATTTTTCAAGAAAAATGCAAGTCGCAAACGTCGGAACGTAAGGTGAAGGAAACTGTATTCTATATGTCATAATGTTGCTTTATTTGGCAAACAAACAACACGGCGTCTCTTTATAATGCGCCGTTTATTTACTACAGCTTGCAACTCTTTGACTATTGGAAATATTCCTTCAGTTGTCCAGCCTGTTGAAAATCCATCTTAAACTGGTGATATTTTGAAACGTGGTTGCTGGTTGACTAACGTTACCTACAATGTACCAAAGACAGCTCGATTATAAGTTAGATCACAGCTAGCTAGAAACTAGCTAGCTAGTTTTTATTTTCCGCTGTGAAAACCCAATAATGCAACTAATTCTTTTGATATTAATTTATATTTCAATAGAATGATTCTGAAAACTGAACCAAGTGATGATCTGCAAAGGTAAGAGGATCCACACAGTATCTGATATAAGAAAGATGCTGTTTATAATGCACATATGCTTTAACATTATTTTGTTCCACATGTCAGAGAGGATGACAAAAGAAATGTTTTCAATACCGTGCTGCAAAGCTTGACAATAAATGATTTTAAGAGTCACTTTCAGCTGATGCCATCTCAAACTGAGGTAGGCTACTTTAGTTCATGCTGGTCCTATTTTTTTTGTTTCTGCTAATCTCGTTTGTGTTTTGTAAAACAAAATTGTTCTTTTTGTGTTTGTAGGAGTTGGTACGGCTGCTTGCACCTTGTAAATGGACTGCCATTAGGCAAGAGGGATGGACAGTGTGGCATGCAGTGCTTGCTAGCCTGTGGGCTATTTCTACCCAAGAGTCTTACCACAGTGTGGCAAACCGTTTCCACATCACAGAGTCACTCATTTGTGATCAGCTGGATGAGTTCTGTACCCTTGTTACCAGTAACTTGGCTAATGAAATTCACTGGCCGCACGGGGAGGAAGCAGAAATGTCTGTGGTGGGGTTCCTTTCTACTGTGGGTTTACCAGATACTCTTTGTGTAGTTGGAACGTGTTTCATTCCTACTGAGAAACCTACAGATGTGTCAGATCCAGAGGTATATAGAGACGCAGAGGGGTCGTACTCTGTAAAACTCATGGCTTTTTGCAACCACATGGGTCGCTTTACCTATGTGTCTGCAGAGCACCCTAGAAATTGGCATAACTCAAGAGTCCTGTCAGCCACGGAGGTTGGCAAGGCATTGCGGGAAAACCCTGTGGCTCTGCTACATGGCAAACACATCATTGGCAATTCCACCTTCCCACTTTCAGAGCACTTTCTGACTCCGTTCCCTGATTATGCAACATTAGGACAGAAAAAAGTATGTTATAACCAGAAGGTGCAGTCATCTCTTGCAGTGGCACATGGCTCCATCCATACTCTGAGATCTTGTTTTCAGAGGCTCAGATGTCTGCAGAAGCATTCCGTTTGCCAAACCAGTTTAGCTGTGAAGACCTGCTGTATTTTATACAACATGTTCCTAGAAACGTATAATGTTCTAGTGGACTGCATTGGGGACGATGTAACCCAAAAACCTTTCCATGAACTACGCTACGGACACTCTGGAAGTCTTGGTGGAATATCTAAAAGACAAGACATTGCAGCCTCACTTGGGCGAACCACTAAAAAAAGAAAATGTATGTACAATTAGTGTTGAAAAGTAATGTTGCATATGATAATGAATACAACATGTCGACAAAATGTTCACAGACACACACATATATATATATATATATATATATATATATATAATGTTATTTATTTCTGTAATGGAAAAGCTGAATTTTCAGAAGCCATTACGCCAGTCTTCAGTGTCACATGATCCTTGTGATTTGGTGCTCGAGTAAACTTTCTTATAATTGTCAGTGTTAAAAACAGTTTTGTTAATGTGTATCATTATAAATGTTTTTATCACTTATGATAAATTTAGTGTGTCCTTGCTATATAAAAGTATCAATTTCTTTAAAAAAAAATCTTATTGACCCCAAACTAGTGCTGGGCGGTATGACCAAAAATGTATATCACGGTATTTTCCAAAATTATACCGGTTTCACGGTACATGACGGTATTTTGTTTTCATGCATGACCGGGTGTTAACCATATTTTCTACTGATTGAGAGAGGAAATACTGCAGTATATTGACTTAGAATGCCCTATTTTACTGTCATGATGAGTGAATATTGTCAAAAAATACCACACAAAATAGTGACTAAACGACCCCTTTTAATACATGTTAACGAGGAGTCACTCTCATTTATAATCGCGGCATCGTCTGATAAAATCAGCATGCAGCTACACTAAAGAGCGGCTATGTGGTTGTTTTGGCTTTATTACTTTTTTGTCTTATGCAGCGCACTGCCTGCGTCTGAGTAAGAAACTAAAAAAAACAACAAACAAAAAAGTGCATGTGATATTAACAGACGAACTACGTTCATATTTATAATTCCAAACAATCAGTAAGCGACAGGTGCTAGGAAACGCTGTTTTGTACTCATTTGTTGACGAGTCAGCTGCTGTGCGGCCATCTGAATGCGCTGCTTCTCTGCCGCTCACTGCACAGAACAGACGCCGAGAGAGGTGACACTTCTCCGGGAAAGTCAGACCTCGCGTTCGCGGGACAGCACTGGCGAAATCTTCCAACTGAACCATAGCTAAGGTTTATCCAAAAAAGTCAGTATGAATATTCTATGGAAAAAAGCCGCTAAAAGGGTCTGAAAGTTGCTAAATCTAGTGCTAAAGTCGCGCTCGTGTGTGTGTGAGACGCGGGAGCTGATGGCAGGGGGCGGTGGATATTTGTGGAGGTCAATGTGGATATTGTGGATGAGTTCTTCTGTGTCATCACGTTCTATTAGTTCTACAGCTTCAGTTTCGGAACTTTCACGCTTAGTAACACATACAGCTGTTCCCTCACCACAGCGCAACAGTGAAAAGGGACCCCTTTCAAACTGTGTCGTGTTCCGAACGTTGTTTAAGCGACATACATACAGTATTTTAAAAATTCATATCATAACAAAAATAAACACCGGTATTCGGTATGAACCGGTATACCGCCCAGCACTACCCCAAACTTTTAAAAGGTAGTATGCCTTGTTGGATCTTTTTTGTACAAGTATTTTGGAAACCATAGTATAGAAACCTTTTCAGTTAATATATGTTGTGATAAACCCAATTGTAATGTGTGTTTTTGTTTAGGGCACATGGTGGTACCGCTCCATCCGCTACAGTGGTGATCAGATCCTTATCAACACCACACAGCTTTTCATGCACTTTATGTACAAAACGCCTACAATGAACATGAAACGTAAGTTGAAGAAAAATGTTATGACCCTTTAGATCCTTTAGATTCTACAGACTAATTCTTTTCTCTGTTTGACAGGATTGGTGATGGTGTTGACTGCAGCGTTTGAATTTGATCCTCGTAGTAACAAAGAGGCCATTATAAGACCAACAGACAACATAGAAGTTCCTCAGGTAAAATGTTCAAACATATGTATTTTGTGCCAAAGATTTAGAGTGCTTAATGAAGTGGGTAGTGGATAATTATTCAAATTTAATGCTCATATTGTGTTCCTTTGTGCAGTTGATCCGGGAGCTGGGAAACATTAATGTGAAGAAGAAGGAGCCTCCATTCTGCTATCCCTATAGCCTGAAGGCGCGAGTCTTATTACTTACGCACCTTGCCAGGATGGATGTTTCTGAGAATATAGAGGAGGGTATGCATTCACATACACCTCTCAAGTGACAATATTTAATCCTGTAGGACAATTAAACACCAACTACCTGTCTAATGCAATTAATTTAATTTATGCATTTACAAAGGCATTCAAGAAATACATTGCAAGTATGTGTGATCCCTGGGAATTAAATCCATGACCTTGGTGTTGCTAATGCCATGCTCTGCCAGTTCAGCTACCCAAACACAATATTCATGTTATTAATGTGAATTAATTGGCTGTTTTATATCTTCTGCAGATCAAAGGTTTGTGGTGAAGAAGTGTCCTGCTTTACTACAGGAAATTATCAATGTTGGCTGTCAACTTACTATGATGGCAACCAGTAGAGGAGGTAATTAATATAATGATATAATTAATGCAAATAATATGTTTTCATTTAATATACACTATCATTCAAAAGTTTGAAATTCATCTTTTATTCAGCAAGGATGCATTAAAGTGACCAAAACTGACACTAAAGACTACATTGTTACAACAACAAAAAAATCTAATAAATGCTATTCTTTTGAACTTACTATTTTTCAAATAATTCTGAAAAAAATTCTGATGCTTAATATTCCCCAGAATATTAAGCATCACAACCATTTTCAACATTGATAACAGGGCTCCAGACTAACATTTGAGAGCAGTGGCACCAGCGCCACTAAGTTCTACAGATGGTGGCTTCAGGAGCAGATTTGGTATCGCTGGGGGTGGTGTGTGGGAGTATTAAAATATAGATAATTTAATCATAAAATTACTAATGTTTTGCAAGTGCAGTTACTAATAATATTTCATGTTCATTGTTTATTTTTCTTTTGTTTATTGTTTATACAGATTTGACAGTAAAGCACTAAGCTTGTTAAGATGCATACAAAATGTACTTTTGTTAACAACAGTAACAGGTGCAAAATCAAAAAAATTTTATATAGAAAATGTATATTCCACTCTTATTAAATGTACCATTATTCTTCTAGTATATGGAACTGACCAACTTCAGTGATTATGTGAGGTTTAGTAGCAAATTGAAGAAAAGTTTGCTTTTCAAGGCACTTTGTGACTTTTCTTACTTCATACACAAAAAAAGTGTAAAATTCTGACAAAATCTGATTTCTTGATAATTTTTATATTTTATAAGAGTGATTTTATAATATCAAAATATAGAGAAAAAGTAGAAATGAATGACTAATAAGCCAATAAGTGCTCCTCTGCTGCTCTCTACTGGTTACTACTCTCTACTACATTGTGATTTGATGTATTTTTTAAATTTTACATAAGTGTTTGTTTACCACAAAATATATTTTGGTCATCCCATTAAAAATAACATTCAAACTGGATCATTTTAGAGCATTAAATTGCTGGAAATAGTTGTGTGAATTGTGAAATGCTTGAAAGTCATTGAAAAGTGCATGAATTTCTCTTAAAAGGTTGTACAAACCCTGAAATGAATGATGTAACTTTTCTTACTTCTACACAAAAAAAGTGTAAAATTCTGACAAAATCTGATTTCTTGATAATTTTTATATTTTATAAGAGTGATTTTATAATATCAAAATATAGAGAAAAAGTAGAAATGAATGACTAATAAGCCAATAAGTGCTCCTCTGCTGCTCTCTACTGGTTACTACTCTCTACTACATTGTGATTTGATGTATTTTTTAAATTTTACATAAGTGTTTGTTTACCACAAAATATATTTTGGTCATCCCATTAAAAATAACATTCAAACTGGATCATTTTAGAGCATTAAATTGCTGGAAATAGTTGTGTGAATTGTGACATGCTTGAAAGTCATTGAAAAGTGCATGAATTTCTCTTAAAAGGTTGTACAAACCCTGAAATGAATGATGTAATGCATTCGACTATTTCTACCACAACACCATGGTTAGTTAGCATTCCTGACGTATGTCAGCGCTGTTTATAACAGAGAATTCTGTGCAGAATTTGAATGATTCTCACTAGATCTTGCAGCAACTTTATCATCGTGCGGCGAATTCAAACGCTTCTCACTGGATCTTGCAGCACTGTGCATCTGTGCAGTAACAGTGTGGCGAAATCAACTTTGGCTCCTGAGTAAAGCTGTTCTGAGCTCGGACTAGTTTGTTTGCGTCGCGGTGCGAGCTGAAACGTAGCGCGGTTTAATTTAGTTTTGTTTGCCGTTTGATGTTTCTCAAATGCAACAGAAATGTCAGTGCTTGTGAGCTGGACAACGCGGTGGTCACGCCAGTGTGACCGCTCACAAAAATTAGTCGCACCGGCAGAAAAAATGGTCGCAGTCTGGAGCCCTGGATAATAAGAAATATGTCCTAAGCACCAAATCAACATATTAGAATGATTTCTAAAGGATCATGTGACACTGAAGCCTGGAGTAATGACTGCTGAAAATTCAGCCTTGTCATCACAGGGGAAAATTACATTTTGTAATGTATTATAATAGAGTCTTATTGTGTTTTTCTTTTCATGCATTCTTGGTGAGCATAAGCGTCTTCCTTCAAAAACATTAAACTTCCTTTGAAAGGTAGTGTATAATATGTTACATGATTAAAAAAAGTTTTTTGCTGATGTATGATTTTGTAGGGCTTCGGGCTCCCAGGCTGACATCTATAGAGAACTGCATGAAGTTGTCTCAGATGGTGGTTCAAGGACTGCAGGAGGCCAAATCTCCTCTGCTGCAGCTGCCCCATTTTGAAGAGGAGCACCTCCGATACTGTATGTCTAAGAAGGTACATCTTTCTCAAAGGTGTTGCAGCACACAGAAGGATCCATTAAAACAATTGTGTTTGATACCCCAGTTGTTATGCAAAAACTGTTTTCAAATCTTCTAAATATGGCGCATCTCTCTCTTCAGTATAAGGTACGGACATTGCAGGATCTGGTCAGTCTGAAGGACTCTGACAGGAGAAATATGCTGAGATTCCTTGGGGAGGAGAAGTATGAGGAGGTCCTGGCGGTCCTCTGGAGCTTTCCCTATATCAACATGGAAACCAAACTTCAAGGTGAGATTGTTCAGCAGCGCTTGAACACTCATACATTCAATAAAACACATGACATGTGATTTAAAGTCTGTGTATGTTTTATTGTTCCATAGTGTTGGATGATGAAGATAGCAATAACATCACGGCAGGATCCATTGTCACAGTTACGGTCACCTTGACAAGGAAGAGAATGTCTGTAAGTAGTACATTTGCGAGAATATCTCATGAGCCTATCCAGGTGTTTAGTTGAGGGGTGAGGGTATAATGCTATTCAAATACAGCAGTTGATTGATAAGTTATGTATATATTATGCAAAGTAATTATAGTCATGGAATGGCACATCTTGCAGTTGCAGCATGCATCCACAAGAGGTCAATGCTGAGCTTCTTTGTTTTTTAGGTTGAGATTTTCATTACAGCAACACTGTATTACAGTGTCTGTATTATTTGACTTTTTTTTAATGCACAACAACATTGTACTAAATTTCTGTTTGTGTTTAGGAGATGTTTGAGAAAGAGGAGGATGCACCACTACCTGCTGAGGAAACTAATGCAGAGGAGGTAGTAATGCTTTCAAGCTACATCGTGTTCATCAGACGTAATTTAATAGTGAATTCAGAATGTGTATTTGCCCTTTACGATGTCTAAAAGTTTATGAATATTATTTTGTACTTTGCAGCAAGGAGATGCCAAAACAAACAAAACAAAAGTTTGGCAAAATAAGAATAAAGGAGCTAAAAAAGCTGCCAAGTCCAAAAAGAAGAAACTGACTAAGAAGAAACCAGTCACCCAACAGCAAGCAAAGGGAGACAAGGCCAAACAAGCCAATGGCAATGTGGCAGGAAATGTAAGGATTATAGAACTGTATATGTTCAGTCTTACACTTTTAAAGATACAGCCTTCAATTTTATGCGATATTCACTACCATTCAAAAAATAAAAGAAAATATATATATATATTTTTTTAAGAAATTAATACTTTTATTCAGCAAGGTTGCATTAAATTGATCAAAAGTGATAGTAAAGACATTTACCCCCGGGTTCACAGACAAGGCTTAACCTAGTCCAAGACTAAAATGTAAGTCTGAGCTGTTTCAACTGTAAGAAACTTGCTCTGACTGATCTGAACATATCAGTGCCTTTGTTTTGTCTCAAGATGCACACCAGTAATGTTTTTTTCTAAGGCACGTTTATAAATAATTACTTAAATCTCCTAATTGAACTATGGCCTAATCCTGGTTTAGTCTAAGCCCTGTCTGTGAAACTAGGCTTTAAAATGTTATAAAAGATTTCCAATTCAAATAAATCCTGGAAAAAAACTATCACAGTTTCCATAAAAAAATTTGGAGCAGCACAACTCAACTCAGCACAATTTCAACTTTGAATAATACTAATAATAAAGTTTCTTGAGCACTAAACCAGCATATTAGTATGATTTCTGAAAAATCATGTGAAACTGAAGGCTGGAGTAATGGCTGCTGAATATTTGGAAATATTATATTTTTAAAATAGAAAAAAAAAATAGAAAACCGCTATTTTAAGTTGAAAATATATTTCACAGTATTACTGTTTTACTCTTATTTTTGATCAAATGAATGCATAAGAGGTTTGATTAAAAAATATTTTAATTGATTAAAAAAAACTTTCCTCACAATTGTGTATATTTGTCATATTCATTCATTTTTGTCAATTTTACTATGATGCACATTTTCTGCACTATAATTGACTAAATAAATAAAAAATTCGTCCAACTCTTATTTTCATTCACAGGACGTTGCTGCTGCATCAAAAGCGGAAGAGGACGATCTCTCTGATAAAGGCAGTGAATCAGACGAGGCAGAGGGAAATAAGGACTCGCCCAGCGAGAGAGATGAGGAGAGTGACAAGCAGAGTGACACTGAGGTGGACGAGATTGCTGGAGATGACGAGGAGGTGTGTGTCCTATCCCTTGGATGACTGACTGCTGATTGTAGCCATTGCAGTGCAGCTTTCCATAACCAGCATGTCTCTTCTGTAGGAATGGGAGGCACTACAACAGAGCATTCAGCGTCGTGAAAGGGCACTATTGGAGACCAAGTCTAAGGTCACACATCCTGTCTACAGCTTGTACTTCCCTGAGGAGAAGCAGGAGTGGTGGTGGCTCTACATCGCAGATAGGAAGGAACAGACGCTGGTGTCTATGCCCAGCCACGTGTGCACACTCAAAGACACAGAGGAGGTGAGGCGACAACCACCTGTTTGTGCTTTACCACACCTTTCTTTATTCGGGAAAGTTAAAAGAGGGAATAGAAAGGGTGAAACTGTGTTGCTCAGTGGTGTGAAATTTGAGTTTTTACAAGATTTCTGGGCCTGAGAGTGTCTTATAATCTTAAAGTCATGGAAATTTGTGCAAAATTTGCTTAATATTTTTATTGGACCGACAACATTTTGTGTAAAGGTTGTGCAAAGTAAATTGTGCTTGCAAATCAGAGTGATATTTGATTTGTAAGCAGTATAATGTAAGTATTTTTTATTAATGTTTATATTTTAAATGTGTGTGTTTTTTAATATTACTGTTTAGGTTTCATTTATTAAATTTTCAGTTTTAGCTTTATATTTTTTCTTGAATTTCAGTTAGTAATTTTACTGCTTCAACTTAAACTTATTTCACTTACTTGCCAAGGCAACCTTTCTAATTTTTATTTAATTGACGTTTTTAATGTAATATTCATATTTCATTCAAATATTCAAAATGTTTTTAATAGTTTTAGTTTTAGTAACCCCATTTGTGAGTGAAGTGATTTGAATTGATCAAGTTGGTTCACAAAATATGAATTAGTGAATCAGTCTGAATCAGAATAAAGAAATATTTTCCAGTAATCATAAATGACCGTTCATGGTAAATAATCATTTTTTATTAATGTTTTGAATCTGCTTTTTTTTTAAAATATATTTTCAGTTATCATTTTTATTTTGAGTTTGTTTTTTAATACTATTATTTAGGTTTCATTTACTTTTATTTCACTTTTAATTTGAGCTTTCTGCTTATCTAGTTACTAATTTTGCTTCAATTTAAACTTATTTCACGTAGTTTCAAATGCAACCTTTCTAAGTTTTTCATATAATATGTATTTTATTTAATTTCAGATTTATTTCAAATAGCCAAACAACCAAATGTTTAATTGTTGTAGTTAACAGTTTGTGAATCAGTTAGTGAATTGAATTGAATTAAATCAAATTAAAATCAAACCGGTTCAATCAGTCTGAATCAGAATGATAATTACAAATGACTGGTTATTGAAAGTCATTAGTGAAAAGGGGTGGGAGCCCAAAAATCTCTTTATTGTTCTTATTAGTTCATAATCATGACTGTAGTTTGTGCCATTGCAGGATTGGGAGTGTACATTTCTATTTGGAGAGATTTTCAGTCAATAATTTTTTTTTTCAAGTCTTACAATAGAAATACCAAGGCATTTAGAACTCGAATACATAATGACTAAAACAAATGACTAAAATTAATTGCAATATGGTGTGCTGTCATTAAAATGTAGTAAATGGAAAGATAATAGAATGAGTGAGTGTTTTACTGTGTGTGTGTGTGTGTGTGTGTGTGTGTGTGTGAGACTGGCTGAATGGTACTAGCTACACAGTCTCCTGCACAGCAGTTTTCCCCATAGCCTGTTGCCAGGCAACCTCCATACTGCAGTCTCTGTCTGGTTACAGAGCAGCCAGACGCCTGTCATAATTCTGTCTGACACAGTGAGTGCTTCCTCTCTGTGAGGAGCATGAGAATGCAAGGATGTAAACAAAAGGGTCATAAATCACCCCATATCTCCCAATTACTCCTCCGTATTAGGTTTTGCTGAGTTGTGTAACGTGAACAATGATTATCTAAACTTCCTGTTTGCCTCAGGTTGAACTGAAATTCCCCGCTCCATCCAAAACCGGAAACTATCAATATTCTGTGATTCTCAGATCAGATTCATTCATGGGATTAGATCACATCAAGCCACTCAAGGTCAGTTTTGTTTTTTCTTCTGTACTCTCTTTTTTGGAAATGTGTTCTTATTTCTGTCCTATTTTTTATTAAATATTTATGGAATTTTTTTTTTTTTTAATAAATTATTGAGTTTATTAAGTATTTATACATTTTATAAAATATTTTAAGATGATGCATGTTCAAAGGTTTGGAGTTGATTAGATTTTGTTTTTAATTATTTTTTTTAAAAGATGTCTCTTAAGCACACCAAGGCTGCATGTATTTGATAACAAATACAGTAAATTGTAATATTGTGAAATATTATTACAATTTAAAATAACTTTTCTATTTCTTATGTATTTTAAAATCTAATTGATTCCTGTGGTGGAATCTGATTTTTCATCAGCCATTACTCTTCAGTTTCACATGAGAAATCATTCTAATATGCTGATTTGGTGATCAAGAAAAATGTGTATATTGTATACATATATATTATTTTAATATAAATGTATTTATTTACTATAATCTTTGTGATCCTAATTTCTGGTTTCAGCTGGAGGTTCATGAGGCGAAGGCCATGATGGATAACCACCCTCAGTGGGATATCCCAGAAACCGAGGAAGAGGAGGATGACCAGGAGGACAGTGATGGCATTGAGGAATCCGAGGAAGACGAAGAAGACAACGACTAAAGCAGTCATTTCATGCAGACTTGAGCACAGCTCATACACCCATGTGCCCACTCATGCACACACACACACACGCTCCTACACAGCCACAAAGCCCCAGACCATTGCCGTCTTCTGGGCCGCCACACACCGGAGGCAAACAGGAGGCAAGGACGTTGACGCCCCATGTTCCTGTTCAAAACACTCATGAGTCACAAATCTGTCCTTTTAGTTCGCCAATCAAAATAAGACTTAAGGAACTGTTGGTTACCTTTTCCTGCGTTCATCCAGTCGTTATCGGTGGGCTGTCACAGTGGTTATTTGTGGGGTCCAGCTGTGTTTCAGATTCCTCTCCACTTGACGAAAAAGATGTCTGACCAACCAATGCGTCGGAAAAATAAAAACCAGTGTACCACTGAAAAATCACACACCTCATGACGGTCATTTTTCAGTGTCACTGTTTATGCTTCAAGGGTGTTTTCTACCATATCATTTTGCAGTTTTATGTAGTTTATTAGATACCAAATTTACCAGGTGTTTCCACTTTTTACGAGGCTGTGTGACGTGTAATCTGGAGTGAGCATGAACCACAAGGATGGGGATGTGCGTTTTAAGCTTGAGCAGAAATGACGGGGTGAAGGGTGTACTGCACTGCTGTGGGTTGCGTCTCAATTTGTCTCCATGGCCATGAAGTGTGGAAGTACACAATACATTTATAAATCTCACCTATCTTAACTTCTTCCAGCTTCTCGTCACAAGTGCAGGTTATCTCAGCCTCACAAAAAAAAAGACTGCAGACATTCCACAGCCAGGTCTATGGTTTAGTCCTGATTTAACTCCTAATGTCGCTGCTGTTCAACAAATAAGCAGGTCAATATCAGACTGATTTCTTGGCGCTATGTAATAACATGGCCTATGTTTATTGAAACCTTAGGACAATTCAAGTTTTGGTTTTATTCATCCCACTGACTTTTTAAACCGTAAATGGGAAATTTTCCCATTGTTGCTGAGTACAGTTGTTACAAGCAGACCATGTTTATAGACTGAACATGCACAAGTGCAAGCCTTTTCCCATCAGTTACACTAATCTGCTGGCCATAGTGCAGCAAAACACAGTTGGGTTTTTTAGGATAATGTTTTATCTGGTTTCTTTTGGAACTGAATGCCTCAATTGTATGAGCCTGATTTTTTTTTTTGTATTTATATATAAATTTTGTCTTACATTCCACTCTCATAAAATATAAACGCCTTATTTGATGTACAGATTTCCTTGTGGCCACAAATATTGCACATTTTTATTTCTGCAGGTTTTTCTTATGTTAGTTTTCTGCATGGAGGGATGACAACAAGGCTCAAAATTAAGGGTAGATTTCGCTTTTTTGTGGATCTGATTATTTTCGTCCCATTTAAATGTTATTTTGCACCAGTGGAAGATCTGACAGCGTATTGGAAGTGCTGATTTAGTGGTTGTGAAAATATTAGTCTGGTCTGTTCGTGGTTAAGCTGACTGATATGAAATTATTTGAAATGTAGAAGTGCATATGAAATGTAATCTCTGCATTTATGGTTAATTTTCTTTTCTTTTTTTAAATCTTGAATTTATGACAGAAAATTGGATTTTCTGGTTTGTTCCCAATAGCTAATGTATGTATTGTATAGATACATTTTGGAAAACTGCAAATGTCTTTAGAAAATGTTTTACTTATTTTTCCCCCCTTTTGTTCATTAGCATAAACACAATGCAATCTTTACTCAGAGGGAAAGTGTCATTATCTGGCTGCATGTAATACACATTCACAACCAATTTGATCAAATTATAAGAGTTTTACAGATAAATAGACATTTTAGTATTATAGTTCCAAAAAAATTATAGCCTCATAATTCATGCTGTGTACAGAAAGCTGTGACTGAAGTGCACAGATTATGAGAAATCATGTCTCTACATAAACGCAGAGAAACTCACCGGCCAGAAAAAGGGGTGAATGGCCTAGTAAACAGTATCTGCCACTTTTGTTTACAAGAAAACTGTCATTGTAAATTGAAAATATATATTATTTGTATTTAAATAATTTCAAATAAAATAACTTTTAAAAGATTTTCTTTTTGATTACACAAATGAATATTTTCCCCTGAAACTCCATTTTCTTTGATAAATAGAGTAGACTAAGCTTTATTCTTCTGAAGGCACTCTGTTTTTTTTTTACCCATGACATTTTCATAAACTATTTGAAGGAATATTTGCTATTGGCCTGTTAAGTATTATACAATGGAAAATTAACATTATGGCAAAGTGCTACAGAGAACATCCTGATTTTTCTATTGTGAGGGACCCTGGTGTATAAAATCTCAATTTTGTTTCCTGCATGTTTACTGTCAGGCTAATATCTAATATACATGTTTTTTAGGTTTGCAATTTGGACATGAGTCATTTGAATTAAATAGGAAATCCAACTGTTCCAACAATATAACAATTTTGTTGAGAAGCTCTAAAAGCGTCTTATAATGTAGAATATTGATATTTTTCGTTCTCAGAGTTAATCGTATGTACCTGATTAATTGATATTCATCCACATTTTTTGCCACTTATAATTGTTGCCGTTATAAGGAAATGAATGTATTAAACCAACAAGTAAAGTCAAGTGTAAAGCTTAAAGTTAGAACTCCACGCGACATGTTAAAAAGTGCAAAATAACTAGGTTCGCTGTAGTTTAGATCAGATATACAATGACTAGATTCGCTCTATGAAATGAAACTAATTTTCGTGATAATATAGACTTTATGTGTGTCCATTTTTTTAGCACGTAACACATGTGCTGTAGGCTATGACTGACATGCTTTATATAAGTGTATTTCAGCAGGGCGAAACCAATAGCCTATCAGTTTTCGTCCCACTGACCTTGTGGCGTCCCGAACAGGTTGCGATACATATTCAACACCCAAATCCAACACATGCGAATCTTTCTCTCTTTCCCCCCCTTTTTTAAGGGTATTCTATAGTCTTTGTTTTTTCCCCACTTCTGATTTTCAGTAGCTTTGAGGACATGGCCACAAGGAATGGTGATATTTTCAAATAACTTATTAATCATCTCAATGCATGAAACGACAAGAAAGGGAACGCCTTTTCATTCTAAAGAAACGGTGTAAAATTCTTTAATCTAGAGAAAAAAAAAAAAATAAAAATAAATCAGATTTAACATTCATCTTAACCAAATCACCGTGAATTGAGGTCTTAAACATACTGAGATCCTATTATTATTATTTTTTTTACAAAAAGACGGACTAATTTATTTAATTAATTTTGAATTCATGGTAGGCTATAGGCCTACACACCTGGACAGCTGAAGACGGCTGGTTGGTAAAATTATAATTAGGCTACTGTAATTTAAAATAAAATTTGCATTGCATTTTATTAAAAAAAAGATCTATGTTCTCGTATGGTTTATTATAAAACGAAATTGATGAGCCTATTTATAGTGGCCTTTTGTTTTATGCAATCTTACGAGCGTTAAAATAAAATTACACTGGGTCTTCTGTATTTTATTAGGCTACTCATGCGTCTGTGGACAACATAAAACAGTTTAAAATCCTAAGTTAAGAAACTTTGCACACTGCTTTATTAGCGAGTATAGCCGGATCGGAAACACTGTTTAAAACAGCCCGCAATCCTCCACGGAATTTCACAAATAAGCTTTTTGTGGGCTCAAGTGGGTTTGTTCCAAAACCCAAGAACCGAAGAGAGATTTCCCGCACCGTATACACACATGCAGTAGGCTATTTATGCACTAGATTTTTGGGATACAGTCGGATATCCTGTGTGGGTGTTTTACTCTAACCTACATCGTTTTGCATACCTAGGCGAAATACATAAACGTTTCACCATACGCCCCCGTGGCTTGGCATTTAATTAGATCCCCGGGGTGCGGATCATTTTGGCACCGTGTCTGCGTGCAAGCGAAACCGGCTGTTTTTTTTGCTCCCGGAGCCCTGGCCGCGGTCCTCGCGCGACTTCACTTCTGCACCGGCGGCGCGGGAGGAAAATCGAGCCCGCAGTCCAGCTGCTGCAGCTGGCTAAATTGTTCTGCACGACTCCGACAGGCGACAATCTAAGCGCTGCAGCCGTCGACAAGCAGAGGTAAATCATTTTGGCATTCGCTGCTTTTTCCAGGTGGATCGTTGCTGATGTCAGAGTCATTCGAGACGTGAGGTTCGTTGATGCAAATATGAAATGGCCACTGCGATATTGTCTGACTGGTGATTAATCAACAGATATGCTGTATTAATTGTGATAACTTACTGTTACACGTCTGTTTTTCTTAGACTATCTTGAGATGAGATTTGCACTTATTGATATCACTCTGAGATCTACGTTGGTGCAAGTCTTTAATTAAAAAACAGATGATTTGAATGCCATCTTCGTTTTTTGGTACTTTTAGACTGTGCAGCGTAGCTTGCGTATTTATTTATTTATAGTACAGTTTCCTAATTTTATGAAATATTGTATCATACAACATTATATTTTAGCTTAACGGATTATTTTAATAACATCTTTGATGTTTTTATACTTTTAAATACTCTGCAGTGTAGCTTGCTTATTTATTTATGTCAGTACACTTTCCTAATTTTATGGAATATTGTATGGTACATTTTTATATTTTATCTGATGATCAGTTTTTGATTACACCCACAGGAAATAAATCACAGATGGCATCTTTTTAAGGTCTACCATGTTTATCCTATAGACAGCAATGAGATTAAATGGCAAAAACACCTTATGACTCCTGCTTCTCAGATTTTATGCTGTAAAAATGGCCCCAGCAATCTCACATGTGAGATCTCAGCAATGTCTCTGATTTGCAGAGATTTTAATATGCAAGGCAAAGATTTATGATCAAATTATCTGAGCCATGTATCCACATGCATTTGTCCAATTTGTGACTATTTTTATTTCTTCTAATGACTTTTGGGAAAACGTCTGAGGCAAAGTTGATGCTTAAATGAAACAGCGTTCAGATCTTCATTATCTAAGAATTCTGATTTATGAAGAATCAACCTCTGATCAATAAACGGTAGGACTATTTATGTGTTCTAGTCCGCTGGGACAACCTATCTGCCCCACCTGTGCTTGCTTTGTTTTGCTGGCAATTTCCCTCAAATACTAAAGGACTGCAGTTCAGCCTGGGGGTGATAGTGAGATTTGTGAATAAGAACGCTGATAATAATTTTGCTTTATTGCTTTCAGCTAAGCAAACAGCTTTTTGCAGGCACAAAAAAAGTAATGTATTGTCAGGGCCGTTTATGGGCCATAATTTCTTATTCTCCATTGCACTTTACATTACATGAAACTTGTGGTTCTGATTTCTAATAGTAATAATTATTAATCCTCAAGTAATGTTTTTGGAAAAGAACAACTTCAGGGATTAAGCATGCTTGAAATGACTCCTGTGAAGGTCCTTTCCCCCCTTGACACCTACA